ATCAATTGGTTTCATAATCAAAATTCGAGATTCAACAATCTCCTCCTTTTTTATGATGACAACCAATTGATGACGAAGTTAACCTTAACTCCCCCTATCAATATGTAATATTGTTAGAACTCTTGGATTCAAAAATCCAAACAACATGTTATCATAAACTTATGCATAATATCATCATATTTCTCCCTCTTTGTCATCAACAAAAAGGAGAAGTTCAACTATCAAGTATTTAGGACATATTACAGTTTAAATCATTGCATTATAAATATAATCTTCAGTTTTATCATCATGCAAGCTAGCAAAAATTTGAGTTTTGCAAGTTTGTAAATTTTGTTATATGTACAAGTTTAGCATGTATTGTTTCTTGAGATAGGCAAGATAGCACTATAGCTTCTCTTGAGATTGAAAGCTAGCAAGTCTTGGTGATCTTCAAGATAGCAAGTTCTTTCTTCTCTTTTGAGAAGGCAAGCTAGCAATTTTGCTTCCTTTGCAATATTTAAGCTAGCAATTCTAACAAGTTTTATATCAAGCAAGCTAACAAATTTTGCACCATATAAGCTAGCAAATTTTACAAGTGTTACTTCTCTTTGAAGTATGAAGGCTAGTAAGTTTTTGAAAAAGAATGCAAGATAGCAAGATAGCAATGCATCATTTTAGAACATGTATGCTAACAATATTTGGGATGTTCAAGAAAGCAACTTTTGCTTTTTGAAATATGCAAATTAGCAATCTTTGCTTCCAGTATATTTTTGCATCTTTTTTGAATTGTACAAGCTAGCAAATATTTCTTGATGTGCACACTAGCAATTCTTTCTCCCCTTTGTCATGCGCAAAAAGAAGGGAAGAATATAATTTTGTAATTCATTTTTCCTTTACAATAATTTTCAAATTATGATAAAGATAAATAATAAAGATGAAAATTCAAGTCATGAATGTCAAAACAAATTTTCATCATGAATATTTCATTATAGCATGCATCATTATCATAAGTTAAAGTATTGCATACATAATATCAAATCATCATTTATAATTACATCAATATTCCAATCATTATTTCAATCATAAAAAAAGAAAGATCAAGTCTAAAATTTGAGAAATAAAGATCCTGATCCAAAAAATATATAAGAATAATTTATATATTTGAGAGCTCTAACATGTCTAAGTTTATCATTCAAACTAGCAAATTTGATTTTTTTGAGATGTTAACTATTTTCTTTCCCCCTTTTGTCATTGTAAACAAGAAAGAAGAAGGGAAGAACATAATGGTGTAAA